AGCCAACCATGAAAGGTGAAACTTTTGGAACCATATTTGCATTTTGAATGTATAAAGATAATACGGTCTAACTCGTACCGTCTTGAAACTCGAAGAGGTCGGATGCGTCAAGATCCCTCCTAAGTGGCGTATACGATACAAACGTAAAGTACCAAAAACGAAACAAAGTATCCGGAAATATCGGTAATCGTTAATAAATAATAAATAAATACATAAATAAACAAACAAGTGCAAGAAGTGCGAAAATTGTGAGATAACGCCGTAAAAGTGTGCAAGTGAATAAGTACCTAATTGAGGCTAGGCAGCAACGATAAGTCAACCGGCGCACCTGGATCGGAGCGTTCCAAAAATATCCTTTTTCTATGCAAAAACCTGCAGGAGAAGGCCACCCCGCGAAAGACAAAGCATCAGGTTTATAGCCTAATAATCAAGCTAAGTAATTCTTCTAATTGCATGTCTTACCGTATAATCGTTAAATGTTTATATAAGCATTTCACAATGTTGCAAAAAAATCTAAGAATTCTATTCGTCTTAAAAATTAAATTTTAAAAAATAATAAGAACATTTCCGTAACTGTTAAATAAACAACCTAATTTTCTCATAGTAGACAAACGTAAACAACCAGTGTAAAAGGCGTAAGCAAATAAACCAATTCAAGCAAGAAGACAAAAATTTATCATAAATAAATTTAGGGTCACACCCATAAATCAAAGCCAAACTAATACAAAGAACTCAAGAGCCAAGCAGGCCATAAGGCCGCATTCCACTATACACTACAGGGCCGGCTCTATTTTGAAGATTGGTATTTACATAAAGTGATTAATTAATTAATTAATAAATTAATTGATTGATTGATATTGATATAATCGTATTGGTATTGGTATTGATGGTAATATTGTTGGTATTAATGTTGATGTTGATATTGGCATTATAGATATTGATATTAGTATTAATATTGATTGATTAGTTGGTTGATACTGATATTAACGTTAATATTGATTAATTGATTGATTGGTTGATATTGGTATTGATTATTTCTATTATTTGGTATTAGTATTGGTATTGACTAATTGATATTTATTGAATTTATATAAATACTAATTTAACAGGAAACCAGGCAACAATTGATCATTGCAGAGGGCAGCGTGCGTGTGTGAAGGGAAATCAAGTGGGTGCGTCGCAATATTATATTATTGTATTATATATATTATATAATATACACATAAGCTCACGCAAGCAAAGCTTGGAGGATGGAGAAAGTAAATGGGCAAAGCCCCCACGTGAAAATGAAGTGGTAGGCCATCTATTGAGGCATGCGTTGCACGCCTGACATAGGGGCCGGGTTTCAAATATTGATGCGATACACCACAGGGCCGGCTTTATCTATTTTGTATATTAATATTTTTATTTTTAAATTAATTTGAAAAAAAAAATAAGTAAGAAGGCAAAGAAATAAATAAATGAAAACGGTATGAACACTAATATAGCAATAAAATAAATAAAGAATATACAAGGTTGGTAGCCGGAGTAAGCAAAAAAACTAACATACCCACCCCCATTCACGAATACCAATTGAATGGGGATACTACTAAGGCCTAGGTTGAGGAGGATTCCGGATTGTACTTAGTTTTGGGTCAGTTCAATGTCCTCCAAAAACCCTTCCTAAACTGGACGTATGGCCCGACCCGGCTGACAAAAATCCCGGGAGCTGCCTTAACCTTTGACACTGTCATCCACGAACTCCTAGGGTGGATCTACCAGCCGGCGTAAAAACTTCGGATCCAACAAACACAGGTAATGCTGTGATTTGGCGGGATACGCAGGAGAACGGAAAGGGGGTAATATAACCCCGGGAGATCAGTGGATGACAATATATCTGGGGCTTGCCATACGTTCCCATACTCATACTCATACTCATAAAGATAATACGGTCTAACTTTTAGCCGTGTTACAACTATTTTCTACTTTTGTTATGGGGCAAAACACCTCAAGTGTTCCCACCTAAAAATGATGTTTTCTCCGAATTTCACAAAACTTTGTCAAATCATTGTCCTATTGGACTACCTTAATTTTCCAAATGGGGGGCAGAAAGGATTAGCGGGTTGCAGAGATACAGGGGCCTGAAAATTTATTTTTTTTCTCGTGCGCTTCAAAGACGTCGAAATATTCATGTATATAATAATTTTTTTTTAATTGATAATCAACATATCGGATAGCATTTTTTCCACGCTTTACGATAAAAATGGTCTCAAAAGCGAGAAAAAAATTTTTGGTTATAAAAAAACGATTTTAAAAATATATTTGTTTTTTTCTCGAAATGCGGATTTTTTTAAAATTAATATTAAAAGAAAGCTTATTTAATTCCCTAAATTTTGATGTAATATGAAGATGGGATCCCAAGAATAAGTCGAAAAAAATAAGGGTTGAAGCGCTTAGGGACCGTGCGGCGAGCAGCTACTATAGTATACCTATTGCAGCGGTGCTCGGTCTACTACTTAGTGGATTAATTGGAGAGGGTCAATACAACTTTTAAAATTATTTTTATATAGAAATAAATGTATTTTTCGATGGGTTTGAGTGAAAACAGCACAAGCACCAAATTTTTTTTTAGAAGAAGGTTGATAGAGAATTTAATTCTCTATCGACCTGCAGGTACAAGTATGTACTTCTAACAAATTTTTGGTGCTTGTGTCGTTTTGCCTTAAACTCATCGATTTTATTGCAATAGTTCAAATTAATAACGATTAAAACCCATGTTTTGGTTTTTGTAGTCGAAAAAGAAAAATGTAGAAAGTAATTTGCTCTTACTCTGAATAAATTACACGTGTACGTAAATGTAAATAAGTTCTACTATTTAATGCAATTGCAAGTGTTTCACAATAATAATACACATTTTTCATGTAAACTTTTTATTGAACATTTTAACTATTTTTTATTTTTGGGAAAAGTACAAAATTCCTTTTCCGTTAGGAACAAATGAGTTATATTTCTGTGTCCCAGGAATTGATTTTGTAGAATCAAATCGCTTTTTAAGAATAATTTACAAACTGAAAATTACGCATTTGTAGTACAAAATTTCATGACCAAGTTACGATTTTCACAACCGTCATTTATTACAAGGAAAATGAAAAACTTCATTATTTTAGTGCAGCAATTTTATCGGATTGCCTAAAGCATGACACTGTCGCAATTTATGAATTCCAGAAAATTTTGATAAATTATTTAAAACAAAATTTTATACCTAAAAAATGTTTTTATTTTACTGATGGCGCCGCACAACATTTCAAAAACAAGTACAACTTTACTTATGCAATATGAAACAGATTTTGGTATTTCAGCCGAGTGGCACTTTAATGCAACAGCACACGGTAAAGGCCTCTGTGATGGCATTGGTGGGAATTTAAAAAGACTGGCTGCCCGCGCAAGTTTGCAGGCAAAATCAAAAAATCCATTTCTAGATGCCAAAGATTTGTATGAATAGGCTCAAAAAAGTTTGAAAGAAACAAAAGTATTTTTCATTCTGAAAAATATCATGAAAACAGCAGAAATTCATAAAAAGCGATTTGATTCTGCAAAATCAATTCCTGGAACACAGAAATATCACTTATTTGTTCCTAACGGAAAAGGAATTTTGTACTTTTCCCAAAAATAAAAAATAGCTAAAATTTTCAATAAAAAGTTTACATGAAAATGTGTATTATTATTGTGAGACACTTGCAATTGCATTAAATAGTAGAACTTATTTACATTTACGTGCACGTGTAATTTATTCAGAGTAAGAGAAACTTATTACTTTAATTGCTATTAATTTGAACTATTGCAATAAAATCGATGAGTTTAAGGCAAAACGACACAAGCGCCAAAAATTTTAAATTTGTTAGAAGTACATGTACCTGCAGGTCGATAGAGAATTAAATTCTCTATCGACCTTCTTCTAAAAAAAAAAATTGGCGCTCGTGCTGTTTTGACTTAAACCCATCGAAAACTACATTTATTTCTATATAAAAATAATTTTAAAAGTTGTATTGACCCTCTTCAATTAATTCACTAAGTAGTAGACCGAGCACCGCTGCAATAGGTATACTATAGTAGCTGCTCGCCGCACGGTCCCTACGCGCTTCTACCCTTATTTTTTTCGACTTATTCTTGGGATCCCATCTTCATATTACATCAAAATTTAGGGAATTGAATAAGCTTTCTTTTGATATTAATTAAAAAAAATTCCAATGTGTCGCATTTCGAGAAAAAAACAAATATATTTTTAAAATCGTTTTTTTATAACCAAAAAATTTTTTCTCGCTTTCGAGACTATTTCTATCGTAAAGCGTGGAAAAAATGCTATACGATATGTTGATTATCAATTTAAAAAAAAATATTATATACATGAATATTTCGAAGTCTTTTAAGCGCACGAGAAAAAAAATAAATTTTCAGGCCCCTGTATCTCTGCAACCCGCTAATACTTTTTGCCCCCCATTTGGAAAATTAGTCCAATAGGACAATGATTTGGCAAAGTTTTGTGAAATTCGGAGAAAACATCATTTTTAGGTGGGAACACTTGAGGTGTTTTGCCCCATATATGAAACGATGAAACATTATATTTAAGGGGTTAATTTCCAACAATATTATATCACCTGTTGTGCGACATTATTCGGTAATTATTAATTATTTTTAATTAATTAATAATGCAATTAAAAAGTATATTTTATTTTTCGTAACTTATTAAGAATATCCCTGGATTGAGACTTTGTATCCCGGGATTTTCGGGAGCGGATATTTACGGGGTTTCAGTATACCGGTTATGACACCGCTAACGGGTACCTATTTGTCTTCAAAGCATATGGATATTCTTATTGGGGATTCAGTATTACTTAATAACTCACACCCAAAAAATAGGATGTTAGGATTAGTTACTTTCCATGGATTTTGGATCGATGAATCCGAATCTGTGGTCTGAATTCTGTGTAATCAAATTTATAATGCCTGTACTCTTTTTGCAGGTCGAATGGCATCCACATTATCATCAAGCTGATTTAAAAAAATTGGTAGATAAAGAAGGAATTTTATTGCAAGCCTATTCTTCACTGGGAGGTACAAATAATCCTGATTTGTTAACTGATAAAACGGTTGTTGAAATTTCAAAACAATTAGGAAAAACATCAGCACAAGTAAGTTTATTTAGTTATAGCTAATTAGTTACACTATTTGCTATAATTTCTGTAATGTATTTGCTATAATTTGTATAAAGTACGTAACACCGTTTGTAACGAAGTGTAACATGGGGGGTATATGGATGTGTGGTACATCACACCAAATTTTAAAAATATCACTTTGCGTGTTTCCAAGTTTTAAACTTAAATGCTTTATAACTCGAAAACTACTTGTCGAAATATTTTTTGTATACTTATAATATAGACTGGTTAAAAAAAATCGAATATTTTTTTTTCTTCAAAGCCCGCATTGAAATATCTTCCTAGTAGTGAAAAAAGAAGCCTGTGAAAATTGTAGCTCTTAATATTAATATTTAGAGGTCGCTCATCGTGAATTTCTATTTTACGTTTAAATAACACAGGAATTCTTTTTTCTTAACTTTGAAATTTTATAACTCGTTTTTGAGTGAACATATTGGAATAAGCGACACATATTTTTAAAGAAACTTAAACGCTCTACAAAAAATGTCTCTTATAATTTTTTTTATAAATTCACTTCTTTTATAGTTATTCAAGGTTGGAATTAGACATATAATAAATTTAACGTTTTTTTTCAATTGGTGGCATAATAATAAACCTTATCACTCATTATTGTACAGGATGGTCCAGTTTGTAATACATTAATTTTAATAGGTGATAAAGCATCAAAAATAAGGTAGACTTTCATAAAAAAAACATTTCTTAAAAAAAATTGTTTTCTCTTTTAAACCACAAAATTAATTTGTAGATAATCAGTGCCGCAGTTACTTGGGGGGCTGCTCCCCTTTTCACCTCAGTCTTTGACGCCACTGGAAATTTTAAAATAATAAATAAATGTTTAGGTCAAGTTTTTAATTAATGGAAAAAATTTGCTCTTGTAAAATTTTGATTTGGGGCCTGGTTTCTAAAATATTTGCTCAAAAATGTTTCCTCGCAAAATTACATTTTTAGATTGTCTGTTCAATTTAGAGAAAAAAAACTACTGTGCTAAAATTTTAATTTAGGGCTTCGTTTTTGAAATATTTGGGAACTCACTCCAAAAAAACTGCGGCAAAAGTATTTTTGGATAAATAAATTAATTATTTAAAAAATGAAGCACTAAATCAAAATTTTACATGAGTAGTTTTTTTCTCTAAATTAAACAGATAATCTAAAAATGTGTTTATTATTGAAAAAAATTCCAGTGGGGCCATAGTGAAAAGACCCAAATCAAAATTTTACAGGAGTAAATTATTTCTCTAAATTAAAAACTTGACCTACAAATTTATTTAATATTTTAAAATTTTTAGTGGCGTCAAAGACTGAGGTGAAAAGGGGAGAAGTCCCCCCACATTATTATTAAGGCACTGACTATATTACATTTTGTGCCAAATCTGATGAAAATTAATGTTGTGGTTTAAAAGTTATAAAGAGAAAACTAGTTTTTTCTAATCTTTGACGACCTGTATTTTCCTTAGGAAACATTTTTGAGAAATGTTAATTAATGAAAGTCTACCTTAAAATTAATGTATCACAAACTGGACCGCCCTGTATAATCTTTTTTGAAAATTTTATATAAATTATGTTTCTTTAAAAAAATTATCGCTCGTTCCAATATGTCCACTCAAAAAAAGTTATAAAATTAAAAGTTAAAAAAAATTCCTGTGTTATTTAAACGTTACATTTATTATATGTCTAATTTCAACCTTGAATAACTATTAAAGGAGTGAATTTACGAAAAAATTATAAGAGACATTTTTTGTAGAACGTTCAATTTTCTTCAAAAATATATAGAGTTTATTCCAATATGTTCACTCAAAAACGAGTTATAAAATTTCAAAGTTAAGAAAAAAGAATTCCTGTGTTATTTAAACGTAAAATAGAAATTCACGATGAGCGACCTAATTAAGAGCTACAATTTTCACAAGCTTCTTTTTTTACTACTAGGAAGATATTTTAATGCGGGCTTTGAAGAAAAAAAAGTATTCGATTTTTTTGAACCAGTCTAATATATATACTTATATTATAATATAACCCCACCTAAAGCGTATAATGTTAATAATTGTTATTATTTTTATTATCTATTTATTTTAATTTATGTAAATGTGTTTATTTTTAATACATTAGTAATTTCTAGCACTTACTAATGCAATAATTAGAAATTCCAATTTTGAATATTCTATATATTCTTTTAACTTCTATGTTTTTCAGTTATTTTTTCCTATTTAATACATTTTGATTTCTGGTAACCCTAGGTGCAAATGAATATTAGGTTTCCAATTGACTGTTTTAAGCACACAATGCAGCCCAAATGCTACAATGAGTGTGAAACTTGTGTTTAGTTGAGTAATGGGAACGCAAACTTAAAACCTGGGGCTGCATTGTGTGCTCAAAACGTTCAATTAATTTTGTCAAATAAACTTAGGTATTAACGATTAACAAATAACCAGTAACCTAATTATTATAGGAGTCATTCGTGTAAACTAAACAGGTGTGGATCAACTTAAAAACTTATAAATAGGCCACCTACATACTCTCTTGCGGTCAAAGCTTTAATTTGTTATAACAAAACAGGTAATTTAAAAAATCTGAGTGCGACTTACGACTAGGGGGGGTCGAGACTATGTGAAAAAGTGCTTTTATACTTTATTGAATGCCCCTAATGTACTTGCTGTTATTTGTATGTCTTATTATTCTAGATTGTACACTTTAAAGGGCTTCTTTAATAGTTATTTATGTATTAAGGGCATAATAAGGTTTTTATGGTCCGAGGCGCTATTTCGAGCCCGAGCGCGTTAGAGCGAGGGCTAGAAAAGCGTCGTAGCACCATAAAAACCAGTTATGCCAGCAATGCATACAAAACTTTATGCACGTTTTATATTTTAATATTTTTAATATATTATTGTTTTTAAAGACGTTTACGTCAAAGAATTTTTGTTATAATTGTCATATTATAATGTCAACTGACATCAGTCAGTTTTAAAGTTTAAAGATGAATGAAATTGAGGAAGCAGCTGAAAAGGCGAAAAATTGCGGCCTGCTGCCGGAAAAATCAAAATCTTTATACGAAAAAACTTACTTCAAATATATCAAATGGTGTAACATTGTTGTTTTTAATTTTTGACGTTTCATTATAGCCCGCTGGGTCATAATAACGCCCGCGGGCTATAAAAAGACGTTTACGTCAAAGAATTTTTGTTATAATTGTCATATTATAATGTCATCGTGCATAAAGGGTATTTAAACATTTGAAACATTTATTTTAGGTCCTATTGAGGTGGAGTCTGCAGCAAAACATTGCAGTAATTCCCAAGGCAAGTTCCCAAAAACGCATTGAAGAAAATATTAAATTAGATTTTGTTATACCTGAAGAAGACATGCAAAAATTAAGCAGTATTCAATTTCAAAATAAATACGCTTGGGATCCAGACACTATTGCATAGTTCTCTTTATAATTAAAAATATTTATTTTTTTAAAATTGTTAATACCATTTATTTTAAGATAATAAAATTAAACTCACACATTTATTATTATGCACGAAACAATCGCAAATTTGTGCTTAAAACATTTTAATTCATTGCCCAAAAAAGGAAAACCCATAGATAATGAATGGACAGTCCTGTCGTGTATTGTTCTAGAAGAAAACGAATTGTTTGAAGTTGTTGCCTTAGGAACAGGTTCAAAATGCATTGGCCAAAATAAATTATCACCAAATGGTGACATTTTAAACGATTCACATGCGGAAATTATTTGCAGGCGGTCCTTTATACGGTTTTTATATGATCAATTAAATTTATTGCGAAATAAAGAAAAATCCGTATATTTATACGACTTAAATAGGGAAATTAAAATTAAACCCAATGTGAAATTTCACTTTTTTACTACGCATGTTCCCTGTGGGGACGCAGCAATCTTTTCAAAACAAAATGAAGAAGATTTTGGAAGCATACTAATAAGTGGGGACTTTAATGATGAACCAAAACAAAAAAAGTTAAAAATAGACGATATTTATCGGACAGGGGCCAAATGTTTGGACCATGATGAAAAACAAGATCCAAAATTGGATGGAAGTGCCTATCACATCCTAGGGGCTGTTAGAAGAAAACCTGGTAAAATAGTTTTTAAAGGATATCAGATAAAGAGGCAGCTTCCATAGGTCTTTGTAAACTTAACTAGTATATCTGTTTAATTTTGTGATTAAAAAATAAGATGTGAAATTAGCTGGCTCTTAATTTGTATTTTCCTGAAAACTTCCCCTGAACATTTTTTTCTTGTTAAGCAATTATGGAATTTATAGGTCGAGGAGATCCCACACTATCTGTATCATGCAGTGATAAAATATCCAGATGGGTTCATTTGGGAATACAAGGATCACTTATATTTACAATAACTAAACAACCAATCTATATATCGAGTTTTACAATCGCAGGAGATACTCCCTTTAATGAAGATGCTCTAAAAAGGGCTCTATTTAATAGGTTTGGCGATATTAAATTACCATTGCCTTTTGTGCAAAATAAATTTATTATCGGACAAGCAACTTTACAATTTAAATATGCTAAAACTAATTTAAAAACTCCTTGCCCTAGTAGTATATCCTGGGTAAAAACTGACAAAGAAAGGTAAGTGGATTTATTTACTAGATTCTTGTAGATGGTATTTTAAAAATTATGGAATTTTAACTTTTGTAAGTGTTTATATACAAACTTCTTTGTATGGTACATAATAACAAAATTGAACTAATCAATAAAAATAAGTTTCAATACACCACCAGATGATCTAAGGATAAAATCCCCATTAAAATGCATTGGCATGAAAAATATGAAAATTCTCCTAACTTCGTGGGAATTCGCCTCTATAATATTTTGCCAAATGGTCAAAAAAAACCCTTTAATGAATTTTAAAAAAATCATAAAATCTTTTTTGCAGTCTGCCTGCTGTTACACCATAGAAGAATTTAAAGAAAAGATTGTCTCTATTGTTTTTCAAAAGTAGAAACATGTCATGTTTATGTTTAGTATACATAATAGATAACAAAGCCTTGTATACAATTAATTTATCTTTTTGACCTGTCATATTTAAAATTTTCTGTTGTAATAATTATTATAGTTCATATTTTTTATCTGAACTGCGGCAACGTTGCAAATTTATGGGGTTGGTTGGTAAATACGGAAGCAAAATTGGTGGCATTGATTAAAACAAACTTCTTCTTAATTCTGATCACAATTCTGTGTTCAGAGAAATGACCTTTAGCTTAATTTAAAACAAATTAAGATAGTTATAAATGTAATTGTGGTTATGTAGGTTACATTGAACGGTTGTCAAGTTGAGTCAAGTTGAGTTGTCAAAATTCGTAGTTAAAAATGCAATTAATTTGGCTTTGGTGGTGCGTAGATGAGTAAAATCGTATAAAAAAGTAGTTAAATATAGGTCACTACGGCCCAGGAGGGACAAAGTATTCCTAGCGGATAATAATCTTCACTTTGAAAATAATTTTTATAAAAGAAATTAAAATTTGATGTGAACGCACGTTAATATTAACGTGCCAGAGAGCCATATCAGGTTAAAACATGGCCAAGAATTGCCCATTACCTTTGGAAAAGTTTTGCCAATAAATGTACTATGTAGGACTGTATATTCCTATGGTATTTGTGCAATCGCGATGGCCAACAATAAATGACCAAATTGTGCCCAATAATATGCCAAAGCAGTTTGGATAAATTAGGTAGGTTACCGTTGGTTTAATTTTGGGAATGTTTGGGCATGGAAAAACGATGACAAATCTTTGATGTTTATTTGGGCAATTAGGCTTTTGAAAAATTGACCAAATATTGGTAAATATTTGGACAAATCCAAAGTATTAACAAATATTATTATTATATTTGAAAGAATATTACTCTTTTTCTCATTTATATTAAAATCTATTAATCTATCTATTAATTTTTTGAAGATTTGGTAAATAAAACGCTTATTGAATGTTTTATTAAAAACTTTGAAAACATAATCTTATTTACTTACTCAAAATTTAAAGCCGTTTAAAACTTAACACGTTTAGGTAGTTAGTGCACAGATGATTATATTTTTTTGTAATAACTATCACACAAGCACTTTTTGACGCCTTTTTGTAGAGAAGGTCTTGAAATATTAACGACATATAACTCGCCATTGCGATTCTTTTTCCATGCTGATCAATTATTTGCCAAGTTTCGATCAATCTGAATTACAAACGCTTTGCCAATTTTCGACCAAACTTCATTACAAACGACGTTGGCCAATAATAACTCTATCTAGGACTGTATATTTGTGTAGTTTTTGTGCTATCGCATTGGAAAATAATTTGGCATAAAACATGTCAATTTTTGGTCAAACTTTATGAAAATACAATTAATATGTCCAAATAAACCCCAATAAATGTAAAATATCGTAGTCCAAACTTAGTTGGGAAAAAGTTGACTAATTTCTTTCCCAAAGCATGGCTCATATATGTTGTCCAATAATTATTGGACTTCAATGGTGAATGGGTATTTTGTTAAAGCCACTGGACGTTAATACTTGTAGTGGCTTAATAATAATTATAATGTATATATTTTCCAGGACTATTAATGATCAGTAACTTGCTAATTGAAAGAAGAAAACGTTTCGTGATTATTGCTTATCTTTTTCAAACCAAATGGAGGATCCATTTTCAAAGACAGGAAAATTAACATTAAATTTACACTTTAGCGACTTTTCCGAAAAACGGCATGAGGGTTGCCAAAATGCAAAAAATAGGTGTGGAGGGATGTAAAAGTGCATAAACAATCGGCGCAGGGTGAAAAAGTTCTATAATTATCGCGTAATTAATAAAAAAAGGGGCTGATAATTGAAGTGACTTACCGTGATTTCCTGTAAAAAAGAACATGCAGCGAGCCAAAAACACGTATCTAATAGACGTAGAATTTGAAAGTGAAGTGAAAAAGCTTGAATTATAAAAAACAACGTCATAAATTGCGGAAAATGCAATTTTTAAAATCAGGTAATTTGAGGTTATGCAGGTTCACAATCCAGCCTCTGCCCTTAGATATATTATACCTCTATTGCTCAATGGGGCGGGGGGCCCAATGGGGTGGGGTCGGTTGGGTTGGGTTGTTAAGTTTGGGTTGGTTGGTTTCGCCCATTTTAGTGTACCTGCATAACCAAGATGACAGATAATCGTCATAACCTCAAATTACCTGATTTTAAAAATTGCAAATTTATGACGTTGTTTTTCATAATTCCCGCTTTATCACTTCCACTTTCAAATTCTACGTCTATTAGATACGTGTTTTTGGCTCGCTGCATGTTCTTTTTCACAGAAAATTACGGTAAGTCACTTCAACTATCAGCCCCTTTTTTTATTAATTTCGCGATAATTATACAACTTTTTCACCCTGCGCCGATTGTTTATGCACTTTTACATCCCTCCAAACATATTTTTGGTTTTTTGGCAACTTTCCTGCCGTTTTTTGGAAAAGTCGCTAAAGTGAAAATTTACCTTTTTTTTAAATTTCATTTCTTGATCTACTTAGCTAATAATAATATTTGTAAAACCAAAAATTACTTTATAAATGTCCATAAGGCGATGTACTTTTTCTGCCATTGAGGCATTTGGCATATCTTCATCGGAATGAAGTTTTGCCCTTAAAAGTTTTTTTACTTTAGAATCTTTATTTTTGGCAAAGTTATCTTTTTATATCGATATTATATAATAATTAACAAGTAAATTATCAATAATAAATATTACTGTGAATTTGACAGTATCAGAGTATTTAATTATAATGCAGAAGTACCATTTTTTAAATACTAAATCAAACTGGCATAAGCTATTATAATCTTTTTTATCATTGGAAATGTAACAGGCAGTAAATGAAAAAAGGATCAAATTTATATTTAAACCTATATAGAAATTAATTTTAGAAAAACTAGATAACAAGTAGCGAGTAATAATTATGACTCATAATAGAAGTTAAAGGAGATAATTTTTGTGTTACTAGGGATGGGAAAACTATCGATAACTATTGATAATTTTCGACGTTACCGATAATTACACTATAGTTTTAGAAACTTTTTTTCGTAACATTGAGTACTCCAGCTTAGTTTAACTAATTTTGGGCCGCTGATATCAAAAATGTCATTTGTTTTTCTCTAGGACGTCTATGATTTAAAATAATTTCGTAATAAAATGCTCTGCTCAATCACCTCAGAATGTAAATTTTTTGTTAGTATTTTAATTATTTATTAAATTATTTTGGCTTAAATTTTTCTTGAATGTACTGAAGTAATTGGTATACGTCAAATAGATCATATTTATCTTAACAATATGACATTTTAAATACTAAAACTAACATTTTAATGTATTTTATCTACTCCTACATTGACGAGCTGTCACTTTATGGCGTTTTATTGACGGGCTGAAGTTAACAACAGTGGCTTTTTGACATTTTACGTCACGGGCTGAAATTGGGAAAAAGTGAGGTTAAATTCGGGTGACAGTTGACAGATGTCAAAATTTTAACAAATAAAATTGGCTTTAAATTCTGTAATGTGTTCGTCGTAGATAAAGTATAGTATGCAACTCGTTTATAAACTTCTCTAGACACTCGTTTTTATTAAACACTCGCTCGCAAGCTTCGCTCGTGCTTAATTAAACTCGTAACTAAAATGGCGTTTATAAAACTTGATACATAATATACTATTATGTAAAAAAACAACCATTATTTGACATTTTTTGTAGTTTATTTCAATTATTGAATTGAAAAGGCAACAAAGTAAACAAGTTTCGGTATTTTTATCCAAATTTAGCCCACAAGATATAAAGCATTGCATAATTTTGTTTTTTTCTTCCTTAATTTTATTAAATTGTATCAAATATCGGATTGAATTATAGTACCTATTATTGTGCTTAATCCTCATCATCGTCGTACATCTTTTGCTGCAAATTCCAGTAAATGTCTCCTAGGAATGAATCCAACTTCTTTCCGCTATTATAATACCCATAGATATGTACTAATGCTCTAGATTTGCAGTTACTTGGTGAAATCGTTCTCCATGTTCATCAGTTCGGCAAATTTAGCAGGATTAAAAAAAAGTAAATGTATTTTAAATGATATATTAACGCTAGTCCTTTACAAAATGGAGAGCATTTTTTCAATGAATTGGCGCCAATTTTAGGCCCGATATGAACCAAGAACATGTTTAATGGCAGCTTTAAATCCGGGTCTACAATTGTCGCAGGGGTCCGATCGCAGAACATAAACTTGCGCAAAGCACCCCGCTACGTGGCGATGAAGCAAGGTTCTTTTGTCAGCTCGGTGCTTTGCGCAAGCTTATGTTCTCCGATCTGCGACCTGCGACCGGCTTAACAAGCTCGTCAACTTAGAAAGCATTTTTGAATGCTTGATCTTTTATTAAACGTCGTATATAAGGTTCATTTAATATTCCTGCAAAAATATTGCGTTGGTTTTTCTTAGGACAAAACAAATTTACAACAACGACATAAAGGTTCGTCTCCTTTCTCTTTATCTGCAACTTGTAAATCGTGAGCAAGTCCTGAGCGGTCGTGAGCAGTCGTAAAACGTGAGCGGTCGTGAATCGTGAGTTTGGA